CTCCTTTCTGTCTTCTCCTGGGAAAGTAGATATTTTTCGACTAATGACTAAAAGGGGCCTTCTTAAATCTAATTATGCTCCATTTTATAGTTATGACTGCCATTTGGGTGGAAGAAGTGAAGATTGGACAGTAGCTGTGTTGAAGTGATTATATCAGAGCCTTTTTTATATCCCTTGGATTTCTGTTCTAGAGATAATTGCAATAACTGTGCATTCATTCGTGTTTTTAGTGAGCTGGTTTCTGCAAAACGAGTATACAATTCCAGCAAAATCTTTGGCCCGGTAGAAACCATAAGGTTGACATTGCCCAATTGTTTTTTATTTTATGTTTTTAATAATTCATGATTTCTAATGGCAGAATTCCAGTTGAAGAGATTGTTGAGTCTGATTGTGCAACCAAAAAAAAAAAAAAAAACATCGCCAAACGGACGCTGTGAATTGGTGCAATATAAGTGTGATGTGATATTTTTTTTCCTTGAGATTCTTTTTCTTTAGAGACTGGAGTTAGATCCACATGTTTTTCTTTTTGCATAGTTCCACAAAGTAGCATTCCCCTTTTTAGCAACTGCAGCCACTTTGTGCAGAGTACCTCCGTTTTTTTAGGGGCCTCAAAAACATTTTGAAAAAGTAAAATAATGGCAAGTCGAACTATTATTTTCAACTCATTGTCCAAAAGAATGATACTGCGATAACATGTTGTTTGTGTCACAGCTCCTGGTGCAACTGGTGTGTCATACTCTTTGTGATTCTCAGTATGAAGGCGACAGTTAAGCTTTTTCGTCTCCTCACTGAGGGGAGCTGCTGTCTGTGCACAACAACTTAGGGCCACAGATAGAATCCCATGCTGGGCAGATGACAGGGAGGAGGCAGTTTTCAAGGATAAGAACAGAAAAACAATGACAAACAAAGTGATGTCATTTTTTTCCTTATAGCGGTTGAAACTTTAGAAATGTTCTGTGTACATTTTAAAAGAAGCAAAAGAACTATGGTGTCTGTATACAGTAGATATAAAAACTCTACACACCCCTGTTCCAATGCATTTTTTCTCAGAAGTGCTGACTTTTGATTGACTCTGTCAAATGATGGCGATGTACCAATATGATACAATCGGCAACATTTAATTTTGGTCCAAGTGTGTTGCAGAGAGAGCCGTTTCAAATAATTAATAGCAACGTATGAAAATATAAGAACCATCTCACCGTGTGATGTGCTGAACTACTTCACAGTACACTGGAAATCCAATGATGAACATGTCAAATAAATCCTTGACGGGCAATAAAAACCAAGCATTATCTTTAAGAGGCAGAATTTGCTCAAACTTTTCAGATTATGTAGGTTCGCCCACTGTTGGAGATGGTGAGTGTACAGCATATATACACTTGTGTACTATACATTTATTGCTTTGCTTTCACACATCTCTCACCTGCATGCGCACGCATTGATCTGTGATGGCTGGTGGTAAAATCGCATATCCAGCCAGTGTAAGATGCATGTTTTGAAATAATATGACGGCTGCTCTTCTCTTATCTGTACACACACACACGCACGCACGCACGCACGCACGCACGCACGCACGCAGCGTTCACACTTATTATATCTCACATATGCTGTTTCACCACTTCCCTTGGATCTCTCCTCCATGCCTATGCATTTTCACTTCTTTATCTTCATTCTTTCTTGTCCCCAAATGTCCTCGGGCCATGAGGTCTTCCGGTAGTTTTACGTAAATGTTAATCACCCAGAAAAAGTGTTCACTAGTCGGGTGATCGCTCACTATGCTGATGTTTGCCTTGGACATTTTCGAAGAATTGTTAAAAGCCGACAAAAGCAAACGTCCTTGGATCAGTTCTTTACAAAACGCCAGGCAAAAAACACTTCTGAGAGAGAACCTGGACTAAAAAGGGCAAAAAACGATGAGGACGCAGTTAAAAGTTAAATGACCATCATTTTTATTCTTTATTCTTTGTTTTTTACATTATGCACAACTCTCATTTATTGTGCAATACAGTAATCTAATTTGTAACATGTATTTGTTCCATGTTTTGATGCATTTTTATGCTTTCGGAAACATTTATGTCTGAATTTTGGGGGGGCTTGGAACGGATTAGGGCATTTACATGGAAAACGCATCTCTACCAATTAATTTCATAAGTACAGTTACCACTGGACCTTGCATTCATTTTGCAGCATTTTTTTAACCAATTCTGTCAGTTATTGCCTGTCACCTGTACTGCTTTTTATAACTCAAAAACAAAACCATACTTTTTGACTTTGTAAGGTAAATTACAGTAGAATAGGTATACGTAGTTCCCTTTTCATGCTTTTCTCTTCATCTCTGACCTCTTTGTTGTTCACCCTTTCCCCCCAGCTCTGTCTGTCTCTCCACTTTGAAGGAGCCATGTTATTGTTCGGATGATTGTCTCTAACTGGATCAGTTACGATTAGACCTGAATCCCTCTCCTTTTGAGGCCCTTAGACCGTCTGTCTAACCCAATAGAAAACCCATGGGTGCTCTTGTAAATGGCTCGCTGGACATTCACTTTCTCACACAGAGGTACAAACGCAGATTTCATTCGGAAGATTCATTGGGCCTGCCCACTTCTAAACACAAATTGGGACACTTACATGTACACATTTTCTTCATGTTTCTCATCATCTTTAGTCTTACAATACACACACATGCACACGCACGCACGCTTCCCTTCATTGAAAATCATTTGTTATTGGAGCTGGGAAAGTAAATGGTAATACTATAGCGAGATGCGAGTGTGTGCTTGTCGTGACTATAACAGCTGCGCCTAGATGTCATTATGGTTGGATGTATGACTCGGACTGAGGACAAGAGCGTAAATGTCATTCTATCAATGAGGTTATCGCTAATAGATGGACAGTTGAAGTCCTGGTTTCCATTTACTCTGCTCTCTGTTGAGTCCCCGCGCCGCTTTTGCAGTCCATGCCTGAAGGCTGTAATACAAGTGATAAATTGTTTTCAGAAGGGTTTGCCTTTTTCGATGGCCACAGCATCCCATTGTTTTTCCCTCTCTAATATGGATTCATACAGGAAACTTTACAGTGATTGAAGACATGAACATGTTTTTTTGGATCCTCATTAGAATTAGTGTCAAGCACTTTTTTTCCCGTTTATTTACATTTGTCCAGCATGAAGACAATTTAAAAAAAAATCAATTGTTGTCCGATGGACGACTGTGTTAGTTGTACACTGCACAAATCTGGCCCTTATGGAAGTGTGGGAAGAAGAAAGACATTTTTCAAAAAAAAACTTTAAAAGTTGCGTTTGAAGTTTGCCGCTAGCCACTTGGGAGACACAAGTGTCAAAGAAGGTGCTTCCATCAGAGGAAACCAAAATTGAACTTTTTGCAATTGCAAGCAAAAATCAAAGTAGTAACTCGGGGGCTGAATATTTTCGCACGTGGTAATTTTCACTTTATTTGTAAAAAATAAAAAATAATTCTATCATTTTTGTTTCACTTCACAATTGTGTCCCATTTGGTCTTGATTATTCACAAAAGAAATCCAATTGTATACTTATCTTTACGTTTGAAGCCTAAAATGTTCAAAAAGATCAAACAGTTCAGGAGAGTCTAATACTATCTCAAGCCACAGTGTATTGGGGAAACCAAACAACCACTGAGCACGCGCATGGTACAACACAGATGAGCTGACCCTTCAGGTCAACACTCAGCTGTTTACCTGCACCTGAAACAGAAGCAGAACTCTTTTGAGGAGCAAAATGTACAGATTCTTAACCCTTTCATGCACAAATAATGATTTTTTTTTTCTTAAGTTTTTTTATTCGTCTTTAGGCATGAAAAAAATAAGGGTCAGTTGTCACGGTTGAAGCACAACTGTGACATTAAGATTAATTAATATAAGAGAAAACAAAATTTGAATAGCTGTCCACTGTCGTAACTGCTGTCCCTGAAAAGGGATAATTGAGAAGACAGATGGTTAGAAATAGGAGTGAGAGAGGACATCTACATCAAGGTGGAAAGACCTCTAAAGATCTCTGAACTGAGTAGGTGGCTTATAACACAACCTTAGACACAGGCAAGGCCCGGGGGCCAGATCTGGCCCGCCACATCCTTTTATGTGGCCCGCAAAAGCAAATCAAAGATGTCAACTTTCATGATGCTTTCTAAAATCACTACCGAAATTTCAAATTCTCATTTGTAATTAATAAGAGTCATACGATAAGTATTTTCGTGTTACCAAACCCCTCATTACAGTAACTTAAATAATAGGTGAATAAACCATTATTCTTGACTTCTTTATATGGTTTCAGTCATAACGGCCCTCCAAGGGAAACTGTAACTAAAATCTGGCCCACGACAAAAATGAGTTTGACACCCCTTACCTAAGACATGATATTGCCCCCAACAAATTTAAAAAAGCAACCCTTCGGGCTGTTTGAGCCAGCTCCGCTTCCTTTGTGAATGGAATATTAACCCTTTCATGCACCCTGTAACCTGATAACATGGTAAACTGTCCACTGTAGTAACCACTGTCCCCGAAAGGGTTAATGTGGGTGTTTCCACCCACCGACTCCTGTTGACAGACAGAAAGGCCTCTCAACAAGGCTTCTTCACAAATGTCATTTTGCTTTACAAAAGAATACCATTCATGGTTGGGTCGTGCCTCCAATTTGGAGCATAACTAATCAAGTTTTCCCTACCAACAGAGGTCCTAAATCCTAACTAAGCCTTGTTGTATAAACTGATGAAGCCTGCTCAGATGAGAGGTGTAAGACAACTACAAGAGTGCAGTTGTGATTTGCGTTCATGCCCCAAAAATGAAAGCACCTGGATGTAAGAGACTATTCACAGGGGCATCATTAAAGTTCAAAAATGTACCTTCCCCCACAAGTTGCATCGACCGCACTCAAACTGTGCCTTTAGCCATTACCAACAGCTTGAATGCTATGTTTCACTTCTTCAGTATATGCATCTCTATTTTGATTTCACCTTGACATGTGACCTCAGCTATGAGGAGCGAGCCCGATACTTGGAAACCATTGTGCAGCACCATCAGGAACCAACCACTTTTGAGGATTATGCTGCCCGCGTCTACAGTCCAGCTCCCTGCACTCATCTGCCTGCAGACACAGGTACGAAGGTTCCAGTGATGCTGCCTTTTTGGTTTTAGCCACAACTTTCATATGAGGGAGAAGGAAAGAAAACTGTGACTAACATTTTACGCGAATTCTATTGTTTAAGTTGTAATCACACCTAGGTAAAATCATAGTGACTATTCCTTCTTGATTCTCCACTATGTTTGCAGTTTTTGGGGCACGCACAGGTGGTAACATCAATTCACATGTCTTATTGGTGAAATAAATGAGATGATGTTGCACATTTTCAATGAGACGTGCCCAGAAATTGTTTTCACAAACCTCTATTGGACGAAAAGTAACATTTGAGTATAGATGAAATGCCAAAATGCGGAGGAAAAAAATGTTTTGTTTTGTTTTAAATATCTATGTCCATATGGACATGCTACAACATAGTCATCCCAGTCTGTATTCCAAAGAATTCCTCTGTCCTTGGCATCTAAGCTGGCATCTGGTTACTGTCATCCTCATTGGGAGTTGCACGTAATGTATGCCTCTCATATGAGTCCCACTAAGACACATCCTAATTCATTCTTCCGTTATGAGCCGAGTTAAATGACATTTAAAATGGTGTGCTGTCCTGTGACTCAAAGGCAATGGAATTATTTCATTTTGCAGTTATTTACGATTGCGTTACATTCGCTACGCTCGACAATGTCTTTATAACATTAACCAAGATTAAATTTTCAGGCGTAAAAACAGTATTTGGCAATACTGTATTTTTGTTTTTGTGTCGTCATCAGATGTTTGTGTAATTTTGTTGGTCCTGTCATACCTGCTCATCTCACCAGCTGTTGTGGCTTATTTTAATCATGATATTAATAACTTTATTTTTGAGGCTGAATGACATGCAGGATGACTGGTGTCGTCTCTGTGTTGGGGTGGTGTGGACATGCTTCATTTCGTGCTCATAGCGCTTGTCTTCATGAGGGCTGCGTGTAAACTGCAGCCTATCCCAGCTGACTTTGGGTGAGAGGCAAGGTACACCCCTGGACTGGTCGCCAGGCAATCTCAAGGCACATTTTGACAAGCAACAAGCAAGTCATACACTTAACGTAATGCGATCGGTCTGTAGCGATGTGTCTACTTTGCATAATGTACATAAATACGATACAATGATTTCCAACTAATATACTGTAATTTCCGGATTATAAACCGCTACTTTTGTCACGCGCTTTCAACCCTGCGGCTTATTTAATGAAGCGGCCTGTTTAAAGATTTTTCCAATGGCCGTCCGGGACTGCTCGAGCAGAAAAGGTAACAGTGAGACGCTATGATGTGTCACAGTGAAAACAATCGGCCATGAGGGTGCACTTCACCTGTGTTTTGAGTTGGACTGCAATCCGAAAGCTGTGTGGCTGGGTCTATGACAGACTTGACCGAACACAAAGTAATTTTTATGAAGGCTTTATTCGCAACTGAACATAAAAAATGTACAGTATTACTAAAATAAAGGACTGCGATATGCCAAATGGGACCAACAAATAGAAAAGTATACAAAAATATACAACAGTAGTGGCTTGTGAGCACTTTCCGACATGTTCTATGTGCCCAAAACATGCGGGAAACAATTCATCTTCCCTGCTTCACGGCTGTTCACACAACAAACCATGCGACACGTTCACACTTCCAAATGACGATGTTTTACTCTTAAAATCATCCGAGTTACAATGCCGATTGCAGATACATCAGGTCTGAATAAGCACAGCTCAGCGTTCGTCTTACTTCACTTGGTGGTCCAAATCTCACGAGGTTTCCCACGAGACTATCCAACGCTCCTTTTAAAGTGACGGTGCTCCATTTATTAAACAAGACAGCATTCACTACAACAGTCATCATATTGTTCACCTGGTTACATATGCCAAAAGAAAACCTCCTGAAATATATTGTCTTGAAAGTTGACACGAAAGTGTGGATGGTAGAAAGCATAATGAAGGAATGGTGGACCGAGTGTTAGGGCAAGCGAGGATTTTTTCATTTTAAAACAAAGCATTACTCAGGAACTGTCATGCTTTGTTTCCCTTTATTTTTATTTTTTTAAACCAGCCGTGTGAGTGCTGTTTCACTGCCGCTACAGGCATTATTTTGAAAAAAAAAAAAAAGTTAAGGTTAAGTTATCCATCCATCCATCCATTTTCCGATCCGCTTATCCTCACAAGGGTCATCGGGGGTGCTGGAGCCTATCCCAGCCATCTTTGGGCAGGGTACACCCTGAATTGGTTGCCAGCCAATTGCAAGGCACACCTAGACGAACAACCATCCACGCTCACACTCACACCCAGGGACAATTTAGAGTGTTCAATCAGCCTGCCGTGCATGTTTTTGGAATGTGGGAGGAAACCGGAGTACCCGGAGAAAACCAACGCAGGCCGAAGGAGAACATGCAAACTCCACACAGGGAGGCCAGAGCTGGAATTGAACCCAGTACCTCTGCTGTGAGGTCAACGCGCTAACCACTGGACCACCAGGTTAAGTTATTCAATGGTGAAACATTCTTTCTGTACACCGTCTTTCATTGCAAATATGTTACAATATGGGCACCTGCGACTTATGGACAGGTGCGGCATGTGTGTGTACAAAATGTTTTTTCCTTTAAAAATGTAGTGGGTGCGGCTTATAATCAGGTGCGCTCTATAGTCCGGAAATTACAGTATGTCATGATTAATACAATTCCTCCTCTGGCCGATTATTAACGAAAGCGGCCACCTTTCACGACAGAAATAAAAAGAACGCGGCTTTGTACATTGAAGTTAAACCTCACCGAACTGGGTGGAATGTTTCCAGAGGAGCTCGAGTGCGACAGATGAAGGACGGGGAATTCTGGCCCAGTCTTGCAAATCACCGAATGGCCTAGCGTGCCGCCGCCCTAAGGAGCCATCATGCCGTGTGTTGTTCAGCCTCAAAACACTTGCAAGTTTCAGAGCACACGGTGACATTTTGGTCAAACATGAACAGATGAAGGCTCGTCATTTCGGGGTGGATGAGTGTTTTCATTGATGATTTAATTTTGCAGGCATCCTGTGCTCTGAAATAAGTCCCCTTTTAACGCCCTTCTGTAACAACGCAGTGATCAAACATTCTTCTCGTTCTGTTTGTTTGTTTTTTTTTCTTCCCCTTTTGGTTGATTTCTGTTTATCCCTTATCTTCATTTGTTGTATCTTTTTGTTTGGTTGTTCTTTTTCTGTTTTCTTCCTCTGTTTCTGCCCCCTCCCCCGTTCTTTAGATCGTATTGTGTCACTTGCCTATAGCTAAAAGGTAAGCCCGGCCACTTGCACAACAGTCTGATTGGCTCTTCCCTTTCACAGTTCAGCCTCACATGTCCTTTTTCTATTTATTTATTTTTATTATTATTTTTTTTTTTTTTTACCTGCCCATGTCTTCACTCTGCTTTTTTTCTGCCTATCCTACACTTACAGGTCTGCATGTGTCTCTGGGAGACTGTGTTGCCTTTTTCCGAAGGAATTGTCATTTTCAATGCATCTTTTGAGTGCAGTTTGGTGCAAAATTTGTGTATCAAGTTAAATGTCACATAAATTCCAGCAAGTGTTAAATGACCTTGATCAGCCCTGTTTGGACTGGTCTTTTTTTTTTCATTATTTTTTTTTTTTTTTTATCAAACTATCAAACCACACTCTAACGTGGACATGACATATCCTTCCTTGTGTTGAACTATGAGCTATGAGAAAGTTTGATCCTTCAACCTGACCACTAACACTGTAACTTGACTTGATCTCACTGACCTTGGGATACCCTAACCTCATGTCTGTTCCTCTCCGTCTGCTTTTCTAACACCACACACACACACACACGCACAGAGTACAGTATACACGTCCATGTTTCTCAACATACTGTAGGTACATCATTACAGTCTAATCACATCCCGTCAGTTTCTGGCTTTTCAAAGATAAAAGATGAAAGTTTTCTTTGAAACAGATGTGTTGATTGAGCAATGTTTTTTAAAAGTCATCTAATCTAGTTAAATTTCATCGAAATAAATTACAGGGCTAGCAGATTTACACGTATAAATGTAAATTATTTGCTGTGAGTGTCAGAATAAGTAGATTCAAAGTGGCTTCCTTGTCCTAGGTGAATCATTTGTTGATCACCCTGGGACTGTCTTTCTATTTTCTGTCCATTTTTGTTTTATTCTTTTTTTGCCTTGTCTTACTTATTTTCAGATTTTCATTTTTTTGTTGCATCCTGTGCTTTTCCATCTCTATACCTTTTTCCCTTTCCTTCCTGTTCATTAATTTCCTTCCCTTCCTTCTTTGCTGTTCTCCTCCCCGCTTTTTCCTCTTCTTCTCCTTTCTCTCTTCCTCTCATTTTCTTTTACTCTCTCGCTCCATCCCTCTTCTGATATTTTGGGGTTATTTTACTTGCTTGCTTCTTTCTCTCCATGTTTTATTTTTTTCCTTTCATTCCCTTTTCCTTCCTCTTTTTGTTTGTTCTCCTTTTTTCCTTTCACTCCATCTTTATCTTGTGATATTCTTCCTTCTCCTGCACGGCTCCATCCATCCACCCATCCGTCCTCCTCAGAGGACCATAGTGTTCTGTGTCTAATGGGCCCCAAACCGCTGGATAGTTTTCGGCTTAGGCTGAAAGGCAAAGGTTTGAAGCAGAAGGTCCTTCACGCCAGCTGTGAATGGTATGACAGAAATACAGAAATACTATAAGAATAGAAACTGAAATAGAACTATTATATACAAGACTGAGGCCACCAAACCAGACCCTCTCACCGACTTGGTTGTGCCTAGAAGTTCTGGCCATCAAGCTTATGAACAGAATGGATGACAAAGGGCAGCCTTGGTAGAGTCCAACCCTCACTGGAAATGAATCCGATTTACTGCCGGCAATGCGAATCAAACCCTGACATTGTAGTATAGGGACCAAACAGCCCATATCAGAGGGTTCGGTAAACCATACCCCCAAGCACCCCCCACAGAACTCCCCAAGGGACACAGTCGAACACCTTGTCCAAGTCCACAAAGCACATGCAGACTGGTTTCGGCGAGTTCCTATGTACCCTCGAGGACCCTGCTAAGGGTGTAGAGCTAGTCCACTGTTCCATGGCGAAGACGAAAACCACACTGCTGCCTCCAAATCTGAGACTCGCCTTCCCGACGGATCCTCCTCTCTAGCACCCCTGAATAGACCTTACCAGGGAGACTGAGGAGTGCAAAGCCTCTGTTGTCAGAACACACTCTCCGGTCACCCTTCTTAAAAAGAAGGACCACGACCCCGATCTGCCAATCCAGAGGCACTATCCCCAATGACCATGCGGTGTTGCAGAGGCATGTCAACCGAGGACGGACGGCCTCACTACATGCAGGGGTGTCCAAACTCTGTCGTCAAGGGCCGCTGTCCTGCCTGTTTTCCAGCTCTCCCAGGAGCAACACACCTGATTCAAATAATCAGGATCGTTCTAATGCTGCTTCAGGGCCGGCTGATGAGCTGATCATCTGAATCAGGTGTGTTGCAGCCAGGAGAGCTGGAAAACAGGCAGGACAGTGGCCTTCCAGGCCAGGAGCTGGACATGCCTGATTCGAGAACCCTGAGGAACTCCGGGCGATCTCATCCAGCCCTGGGGTTTTGCCACCGAGGAGCTTTTTACCACCTCAGTGACTCCAAACCCAGGGATAGAAGAGCCCTCCTCACAGTCCCCAGACTCTGATTCCTCTAAGGAAGGCGCGTTGGTGGAATTGAGGTCTTCAAAGTATTCTGCCCACCAACTCACAGTGTCCCAAATTCAGCAACACCCCATTACGCACAGTGTTACTGGTACATTGTTTCCCCCTCCTGAGACGTCGGATGGTGGACCATCTGCAAGTCTGCTTCCATGGCCTCAATGAACTCCTCCCATGCCCAAGTTTATGCCTCGGCGACCGCTGAAGCTGCTTTCCGCTTGGTAGTCATCAGCTGCCTCTGGAGTCCCACGGGCCATAAATGCCCGATATGACTCCTCCTTCAGCTTGATGGCATCCCTAACTGCTGTGTCCACCAGTGAGTTCAGGGGTTGCTGCCACAACAGGCACCGACCACCTTAAGGCCACAACTCCGACCGGCTACCTCAACAGTCGAGGTGCAGAACATGGTTCACTCGGACTCAAGGTCCCCCGCCTCCCACGGGACGTGGGCAAAGCTCTGCTGGAGATGGGAGTTGAAACTCTTTCTGACAGAGGATTCTGTCAGGTGCTCCCAGCAGACCCTCACCATACGTTTGGGTCTGCCAGGTTGGATGAACAACTTCCCCCACCATCGGAGCCAACTCCCCACCAGGTGGTGATCAGTTGACAGCACCGCCCCTCTCTTCACCTGAGTGTCCAAAGCATACGGCCACAAATTCGATGACACAACCACATAGTCAATCATCGAACTGCGGCCAAGGGTGTCCTGGTGCCAAGTCCACATATACGCGCTCTTATGTTTGAACATGGTATTGGTTATGGACGTGATGAGCACAGAAGTCAATAATAGAACACCACTCGAGTTCTGATCAGGGGGACCGTTCCTCCCAGTCACGCCGTTCCAGGTCTCACTGTCATTGCCCATGTGAGCATTGAAGTCCCTCCAGCAAAATGATGGAATCCCCAGATGGAGCAAAAAGGTTGGGTACTCTGAGCTGCTGTTTGATGCATAGGCCCAAACAACATTCATTACCCGTCTCTCCACCTGAAGGCGGAGAAAGGCAACCCTCTTGTACACCTGTGTGAAACCCAATGTACATTTACTGAGCCGGGAGGCAATATGTATGCCCATGCCTGCTCTGCGTCTCTCACCGTGAGCAACTCCAGAATGAAAGAGGCCAACCCCTCTCAAGAGAACTGGTACCAGAGCCACAAGCTGTGTGTTGAGGTAAGTCCAACTATATCAAGTCGGAACTTCTCTGCCTCGCACACCAGCTTGGGCTCCTTCCCTTCAAGAGAGTTGATTTTCCATGTCCCGAGAGCTAGCTTCCGTAGCCGGGGAGATGACTGCCAAGGCCCAGCGCACAAAGCACCCGACCCCTTTGGCCCCTCCCACAGGTGGTGAGCCCATGGGAGGGGGGACCCACGTTGCCTGGACAATAATTTTATTTTTAAATATTATCTTTCAAAATAGAATTTCCTACATTCAGCTTTTTTCCCTCCGGGTCACTATTTTGAAACACAATAAATAAATAAATGCAATTGAACATTCAATATATATCAATATAGACTAAGATGACTTACTTATATTGTTTTCAACCATATTGCCCCCTCTACAACTCTTTGCGCAGTGTTGATTATTTTGAGTCACATCTTGTGAGCGAGGAGCCAGAAAACCGAATATAGGACAAGGGCACAATTAGCCTACTTGAAGACTGGCCTCCTACCACACTCAAAAAGTTTTCAGAAAAAATATGTACAGTGGTTCCTTGATAGACAAATGTTAGTTCTTAAGTCAGATCACTCAGATCAGCTTTCCTCATTGAAATAAATGGCAATGCCATTGGACTGTTGCGGCCACCTCAAAATAACAAAACAAAAATTGCTGTAATGCATTTTTATGAAGGGAAATAGCACTATTTAATATTGTACTGTACAAAAACATAGTAATACCAATTCACTAGAATATAGTGTGTGCATCATGATTAAGACATTGCGATGCTTTTTGCCTTGCCTACCATAGGGCAGTAAAATAAAGTCACGGAGACAAAGATGAATTTCACTACTACTATAACTTGACTCAATAACTTAAGCAATAGTTTCAGAGATGATAAAGATTATATGCCCGTGAGTAGTGTTATATTGTCTACATGTTTTATTGCACTGTTTGCGTTGAAATATCTACAACTTAAAAGGTACACAGTGACTAGCAATCCTATTTCTTAGCCCTTCGATAGCAGTAAGCTAGCACAAGGAAAAGCGATCTGATTCTTTTGAATAAACATATAAGTCAAAGCAAAAACAATAAAAAATAAATCATCCGAATGACGGGTGATGTTTGGAAAATATGGACTTTAGAACCCACTCTAATCATACTTTTCACACTGCATATTTATTTCAATAAGAACAGTTCCGAAAACAAATTAGCAACATGCAGACATAAAACTTTCAAAAAGTATCTCAAATACACACACCTGCACAAACACAAACTCGTGTGGTCTAACCTTTTCACCTTTAAATGTCAGAATGTTGCTCTTGACCAGTCGTGCCACGTTATATGTCTGTCCGTTTAGAAATAACGTTTGTGTTTTATGGAATTAGAATGAGCCCTTAAAAACGATTTTTAGTTGTCTCTTGGTGCGTGCGCGTGTGTGTGTGTGTGTGTGTGTGTGTGTGTGTGTGTGTGTGTGTGTGTGTGTGTGTGGGTGTGTGGGTGTGTGTGTGTGTGTGTGTGGCACAGAGTGTAACTTTCCCCCCCTCCTCCCCACATCGTCTTCATCACCCATCACCTCGCCTCGCCTCCCACCCCCTCACCAAATCCCCCTCCCCCCTCCTCCCCTTCCTCCCCTACAGGCTCCTGCCTCGAGATTCTTCGGTCAGAAAGTCCGGCACTTGGGGAGGCCGGGAGCGACTCAGCCTCCCCCATGTCTCCTCGAACTAGCAAGACGCGCATGTCCATGAAGCTTCGACGCTCATCTGGATCAGCCAATAAGACTTGATGTGACGCGTGCATTATCGCATCCCCTTTGGCTCTCTAGCTGCACCCTATTCAAACTGGACTTTAAATGAAACAAAATACCAAAAAAAAAACACACAAAAAAACTAATGCAATAGCTACTTGTCAGAATTTGGATGTCACATTCATATGCTCCGAAAACACCTGTTATGGGCTGTCTGTACTACAGTATTTTGTGGAATATTCTAGAGTGTACATTTATTTTAGAAGTGTGTGTGTGTGTGTGTGTTGAGAGAGAGTGTCTGTGTGTGTGTGTGTGTGTGTGTGTGTGTGTGTGTGTGTGTGTGTGTGTGTGTGTGTGTGTGCGCGCGCGCGCGTGCACTCGCAGACACACGTGCTGTGATAGTGTTACTCAAACTCCTGTATTCTTCATGAGATCTTCAGTATTTAATGATATCATGGAAAAAAAAACACTGTATAACTGTATTATTTCCGTGGAAAGTTGCATGAAGCTATAATATGCTGTAAGTCTATTTTTGTTTTCATCGCAGCGTTGCATCTATGAAGTTCACGACAGAGGTTTCCAAGTTGGCCTCACAAGATGTAAATAGCAACTGAAAATGGTTTGCCAACAATAGAAAACACTCGATCCAAAAAAAAAAAAAAAAAAACAAAAAAGCAAATACATTCTATATATTTACAGGTCAAGTTGAACAAATGAATTGTAGATTTTTGCTGTAAAATGTGGACAAGCACTGATGTTTGTTAACTTTTATTCAGTAAAGTTATCGGTTATTTTATGTTCCTTTGTCCTGGCAAGGCTGTAGTTGCCTTTGTCATTCAACGCAACAGAACCACTGCTTTATTTTTCTTCGCACCTCTGAGTATAAATGTGTATACTGTATTCGATGGATTCATACCGACAAAGTGATATGCTGTTACGTGACAATAGCTGCAAAAACCAAACGTGGGTTCATACTACCAAGATTTTACGCGTCAAACACTTTCTCGTATATGAACAGAAAGCACTTCGGTCTGGAGTAGGCATTAAAAATGACAAAAGAAGTCAAAAATACTGCACTACAATTATGAAATCTTATTTTCAACGTATAGTCTGGAATCAAGAGCTCAAGTACCGTTGTTGTGGATCACTGGCTAATTTTGCTAAACACAAAGAGAAGTAGAAGTGCCTTAAAATAAATTGAAAATATCGGAGGTGTCAATCCTACTCTGTATCTTTCCAAGAAATAGTCGTGGCCGTGGTTCCCAAAAGGTGATCTCGATGAAATGTCTTTCACTGGCATTATGAAGAACTTTTGCTGGTCTTGACTTTTTTTTTCGATGCCGTTAAAGAACTGTTTCACGGCAATGGGCTGTATCTGCTGTTACAATGATGTTTGTCTTTTTTTTTTCGTCTTCCATAGATTCTAAATTCTGAAGAAAATTTGTATACAACTTGATGCATGTCAAAATATGCCACGCTTAAAAAAAAAAGTCAATTTCATGTTGTTAGAACTTCCTCTTTGAATGCATTTCATTGTCAGGTTTTATTTTTTCTTGTTTTGCCAGTTTTGTACAAAGGATCATCCATGATGGCACATTTTGGGTCATTCGAAACGTATTTGACATATATCCGCAACGTTGCCCTGATTATGTTACAAAAATAGTTCAGTTTCAATGATCAACTATGTGTGCGGTGTGCTACCTTGGAAACAGCATGTCCAGTTTATCGTCTGACTCATTTTCCCATGTACCTGTGAGGCGGACCTTGACCAAATGGTCGAAGTTGAGAAGGGTGCTGCTTTGTTTTCCCCACATATGTCCATTTCAGACACTGCCCACAGGCACTTATACAAAGACTACTGCATGATGCCAGCCAGCCCAGTACCATAAGTGCACGTCTTGATCATGTAAAGAGCTCTTCACAAAATCTTACAGTCAATGCTTGTGTAACATCGACAGTAAACACACACGCAGTAGCAGCATGGATGTGTCGGAAATAAACTTTTCATAATATTCACTCTGTTGTGTAAAATTGATTTAAAAGAACACAGGATCCTCGTTCAGCGTGAATATTTATTGACACTTATGTCACATTAAAAATATTTAAACATACACACTGCGATAAATCACATACATGTGGGGCATCAAAAAAAATGCTTTCAGCAGATATTTCAACAGTAGTTTATAACCGTTAGACATTTTACTAGAGGACTTCATTATTATCCATTCCTGTATGAAAAATAGTGTAAGTTAATTGGCACATTTAATCTAAAAGGTGTGTCACGGCCGAGAGGTGGTCATTTTTTTTCCATTCTTGGGTTTGTACTGTGAAAAAGTCTAAAACGTCAAGGACAGTCATTAATTGTGTGATTCACACAAGTCAAGTAAAACCTGACTGCAGTAGCTGTTGGCTGATCAATCATGTGCCTTGTTTACTCGAGCAAGTACACAACCAAAGGGAGAGATCAGAAATGGGAGCTAAAACAATTGACTTCTCACCAACTTTTCCCCAAAATCCAATAGGTTTTTAAGAGTAATTCACGAAGAACACATTTTTTTTTATTCTTCTGAATTTCGACACTTTCAAATTCATATTTTCATCGTGAAAATTTCTCTCCAAGACTGTTCGAGTTTCAGCACCGCGGATAGTTCATTGTTCAGCTCGTGCGTTTTTACTGTTTTGGAACAGAAGCTTGAGAAGTACAAAACATGATGCATACCGACCGACATCATGTAAGCAGGGATCCCAAAACATGGCCTTATCCATCAGAGCTTGATTTTTATAATCAGAGTGTTTGTTTTGACAATGTTTATTGTGCTTTTGCGTTCTGGCAGTGTTTTTTTTTTCTCACTGTATCAAATTATGAACTGTTTTCTAATATTTTGGTTACCTTATTTAGCTGCACGATTGGGGCAAAATGCAACCAACAACTTAACACCGCCGAAATTTTTTCTTGAAACCGTTTTATATTTCCGGTCAAGAAGCCGTTTTTTCATGCAAATGTTGAGCCTACTGTAGTTATGAGTTTAATTCTGCGTTACATGTTAGTGATGGACTACGATATGGCGAGTTGTGACTCAGTTGCAATTTCGGATTACGTCTTCCCACCTATCGAAATATAGTGCCTAGTATATTTCGAGCCCACGTCACTTACGGGCCTGACCGAGTCCCGACATCTTCCCACGTCTGTGTGCCTCACTCATGTCGCGTCCGCTCACGGGTGAGTGGAAGAAGAAAGTCGGGCGTCTCCGTGCCTGACGGCCATGTGCATGATGACGTGCGTGTTGTCTCCGGGATGACACTTGCTCAAGTGCCTCGTGAGCCCCGGGGAACCGAGGAAGGTGGCGGGACAGTGTTTGCACGCGAACACTTGCTGCTCGCACCCTCTGTCCACGCCGTATCCCTCCGCCCCGAAGCCATGGCCTCCTGCGCCCCCCAGGAGCTCGTCCCTCACGGCGTGCCACACGCGGTGCTTGTCGCGGATGTCAGCCGACGGGAAGCGCGCACCGCACAGGTGACAAGCGAACACTACCGGGCGGCTCGACGTCGGCGGTGAAGGCCCGGTCCCCATGTCGTGCGTCGCCATGTGCTTCTTCAAGTAAGCTTGTCGCCGGAACTTCTTGCCACAGTAACGACAGTCGTACACCTCCGCGTCCTCTTCAGCCCGGACAAACGCCAGAGGTTCGTACGAGTTGCCGTTGAACATGAGCAGGCCCGGCGGGGGGCTCTCCTGCCGGAAGAGGGGCGAGGAGGAGTCGGGGACCGCGGAACTGTCCCGCGCGCCCTGGTGCTGATTAACACACAGCAACTCGTTCTCCTTCCCGTCCGCGTCGAGTTTGTTCACCGACAGATCCTGGCCTCTGCCCGGGTTGACGACCGACGGACGCGGCTTGTGCCAGCGGCGGTGGGAGGCGAGGTTGGCGGGACAGCTGAACACTTTGTCGCACTCGGGGCAGCGGTACTCCACGCGCACGATACGGGAGCACTTGTGCTGGGCGAGGGACAGGGGGTCGGCGTACTCCTCCTTACAAAGCTGACAGATGAACTCCCCCAGAGGCTGACTTCCGGACGACTTGTGTTGTCGCCTCGCTGCTTCGGGGCTCTCCTTCTTGATGCGCAAACCTAAAACCGGAGAGGTCGTAACCTCGTCCTCGAAGGTAAGCTTCCGGTTCGCTTTGGTTCTGTTGGCTCTGTTCGACTCCGGAAATGAGCGTTTTCTCCCTGCTGCCTGGTGTTGGTGGTTCATTAGTGGCGGAAACAGGCGCGCCATGTCGTTGTCGTATTTCGGAGCGGGACCATAAGGTGAAAAGTGCGTGTTGGAGGCTGCGACTCGCATCGACGTCGGCGTTGAACTCACCAAAAACGGCAACTCGGTTCCCGGGGCTGAGGACGAGCAAGTCTCGGGAAATACCGACGCCTTTTCGACTTCGCCGTGCGGCTCCAAAAGTCTGGAGCTCCGGGCTTCTATTAATGGGGGCGGAGGTGGGAAGAAGCACGAGAAGTCCCCCACGGGAGTCACAGTGTCCACTTCGGAGTCCGGTAACTGCGCGCGTCGGTCCGCCTCCGCCTCCAGAGCAGACTCCACGTGCAGGCTCCACACTTCAGTGACCCCCGCGGAGTCCTCGCGGGGCGCAGGCGGGGGCGCGACGTCGGGGCTCGGGACGCCCCACACGTGGTTCTCCTTCACGGGCTCGGGCTCGCTCACTTCAGCCTCCGCGCGGTGGTCCTTGTCATTGTCACACGTGGCAAGTTTGCTACTTTTTCGCACTCGATACGACGCCGAACATCGCCGGGTCCTCTTCACCAAGAATCCTCGAGGCATGCTGACAATGATGCTGATGGTGGTGGTGGTGGTGGTGGTGGTGATCGTGATGATGCTCGTGGCACCACCAGGCTGGAAAGAGCTTGGTCTCTTGTATGAAGCCGCTTTCAAGTCGGGCTCTGTGTGTGTGTGTGTGTGTGTGTGTGTGTGTGTGTGTGTGTGTGTGTGTGTGTGTGTGTGTGTGTGCGCGCGTGTGTGTGTGTGGGGGGGGGGGCAGGTGCGATTGGAGCACGGTGCGTGTTTTTGATACCCTCTTGTGCTCTAACCCTTTACAACAGGACCGTATAATGCAAGCCGTCATTATTAGACCATCTTCGTACATTTAGAATTTGGTGGGCCAATTTCCTGTTATTTATAACGATGGATGCTGGAAAGAATTACACTTTGTGTATATCAAACTTTTTCGTCAACATCGAGGCAAATTATATAAAACGTTCACACTGCAAATTATTCTTACTAGTTTTACATACATTGAATAACTTGAAGAGAAATGCATAGTGATGAGAAAATGTTCACATTTGAAATGCAAGCAGTTTGGCTGCAGACTAAGATATGTCAGGATCACGGCTATACTGTACATCAAGAAGTGGTGAAATCATGGAAGTATAAATACCAGAATCGTTTAGCAGCAATGGTGGAATCTCCTACTTCATTTTTATTCAGTGCCAGATTCACCAGATAAACTGTTTATTTAATAGTATTTATGTAAAGGAAGTGATGTAAGAAGAAATCTAAGGTTACACATACATTTTCACATTATACTTACTAGAAGCTGCTCATGAGCAGTTTTGTCAGTATTCAAAACTTTAAAAAAAACACCCTTGTAATTATGACAGGTTTGAAAAGGATGCATATTTTTCCTTAAAGACTAATACATTAATTGCACTTACCAGATGCTTCTAGTGGATCCTGTTAACATTTACAAATGATATAATGCCCTTGTAATTGTTAAAGTTCATCTGTCAATGTCAAAAACAAAAGACTAAGTCCTATAATTGACCTCCATGGAGGTAAAAAACTCGTCATGGTTTTGAGAGCTATTTTCTTACCTGGCGTGGGGCCCTTCCCCAAGTCATAACAATACCTTTGGCAAACAGAGTCATGGAATTTGTTACCTGTCACCAGATAGAATGAGGCCAGTTGTGTAGTGGCTTAATACATAAAGGCTCCTCTTCATTCGAAGCTTATTTGCATAAAGATTAAACAATCCTTCTATAATCTATGTAAGAGAATATATATTTGTGTGATGTTATATTTCAAATGAATATTTCATGATTTGATTTAATCAGTAGAAAAAGCAAAATTAAAATTGCACAGATATTATGTGGTATGGATGGTAGGGTCGTAGGTGTGCTGGAGCCTATCCCAGCTGTCTTCGGGCGGTCGACGGGGGACACCCTGAACTGGTTGCCAGCCAATCGCAGGTCAAACAGAGGCAAAAAGCCATTCACACTCACAATCACACCTAGGGACAATTTAAAGTGTTCCATTAACCTGCCTCACATGTTTTTGGAATGTGCGAGGAAACCGGAGTATCCGGAGAAAATCCACACAGGCAAGGGGGGAACATGCAAACTCCACACAGGAAGGCTGGAGCTGAAATCGAACTTTGCACCTCTGTGAGGTGGACGTGCTAACCAGTCGACAACCTTACCGCCGTGTGTGTGTGTGTGTGTGTGTGCGTGTGCGTGTGCGTGTGCGTGTGAGAGAGAGAGAGAGAGAGAGAGAGAGAGAGAGATTATTAATGTGTTTAAATAGAAATATTTAAACTAGGTAGGCTACATAATCGATAGATTCTCGTTGCGTCTTGCCTGTGAGCCTCATCTTATTTTCAGGACCTTCTCACATTTATTATTGCTTGCCCAATTCATCACAAAATGAACGAGTATTCGAAATGACAGTAGCTGTCTCTCGGGACGCTGCTCTGCTTGCGTGGTGCCTATAGTTGAAGTTTAAAAACAGCACCCATGGGACTTGCAGTTACAGATCATATCTATGTAAGGCTACTAATGAAGGTCTCGGTCCCATTGAAGTGTCTTTATTGGTGGTGGGAATAGCTTGGGGATGGATTTCCCTCTGTGTGTGGTGGAAACGCCCCCTGCATGCGTGTGTGCTAATGTCTGCCTATAGGGAGCACAAGAGTCCCGTGTGTGTGCGTGCGTGCGTGTCTGTGTGTGTGTTTGGGCAATG